ACGAAAAAACATGTTGATGAGCACACGCTCATGAACGTGTTCATCTACGGCCTTGTGGATGGGCCAGTGAAGACCTACATGTTCCGGTAGGACAACCGTACGCTGGAAAAGACTATAGCGTATGCGTAATAAGAATACTTTAGCCTGAGACAGGCTCAGGCTAACTCGTTAAACTATCGTCCGACGAGACGACAGGAAGCAGAAGGTCCCGAACCAATGGACCTCTAAATATCGAGAGCGAGATCTAGCTCTCTGAGTCACAAGCGAACGGAAAGATGCCATCGATGCCAGAAGATTGGACACTACGCTCATGAGTGTAGTGTCCCAAGCACCACAACACGTCCAAAGACAGGACGTGATGACCACCGCTGGCCAAGGAAAGGTCCAAGGCGCGGGTCCGAACATGTCGCTAAGCCGCGAAAGTAAGTCGGACCGCAAAAAAAACGGTCAGGGTCAGTAGGGCGGAGCTTCCGGCTGACCCAGCAACGTCAAGAGAATTTGCCGGACTCTTGACGAAGATTGCTCCCAACAGACAGTCGCTGTGTGGTACTACCCCTAGCGGTGAGGAGTCCCTCATCACTTTAAAGATCGAAGTGACAAGTGGAATGTCACTTCGCGCCCTGGTTGACTGTAGGGCGTTGAACTGTTTGATTCGATGCCAGTCGCTAAGGGGTAGTAGGCTCAACTATGTTGAGCGATAGTTACCTCCAACGAAGATGACGTTGTGCCTTGCTACAGGCGCATCCGTAACAGTGAACAAACGTGTGGTGGGAATCCACTACACGCTAGAAGGAAAGCAGTACGATAATGACTTCATCGTATCAGATTTGGATGACAAAATTGATGTCATCCTTGGTCTGCCATGGCTTAGAAAATACCGGCCATGGGTACACTGGCAGCATAGATCCGTGAAGATGCCTGACGTTTGTTCATCGGATGGCCTGCCGATAAACGTCTTGGAGCCTTTACAAGCGTGTGGATGTACTACGAGTGAGTGCGATGGCCTCACTTGTGGTACGGTCTTTAGTACGAGTGCACAAGATCACAGTGGATTGGAAGCTTCAACTCCACTGTGAAACCAGCTTTCGGTACCTGTGTAGAGACACAGGCTGCGCCGAAGGTTCACCACTCGAAGAGATCGAGTGGACTGGAACACGGATGCACAACAACAAGGGTGCATTCAAGAAGAGAGATAAGTGTTGTTCAGGATGAGCAACACGTTGAAGCGATATCGACTATCAGAGATTCGATCGTAGAGCAAGCCCGATCGACTGAAAGAGAGTCGATTGAAGAGGACGTGACTGTGGTAGCACAACCACAGTCAGCACACGTATTGGAAGAAAAATCCAGCGTTCCTGAGAGTGATAACTCCCGAGAGCGTTATGTTGAGGACGTGGATCCCCAACCACTTGCGGGTGTGTTTTCCTAGGAAATCACCGAGACAGTGAATGTCTTGGTGTATGACGTATCAAGTGTAGGCGCTTATACACTGATCTGGTTACGCCCCCGAAGTCAGCTTCGGATGTAGTCAAGCTGCCAACGCTAGAATCTAAAATATTCTTGCGAGATCTGCTTAGTGACAAGATCAAGCAGATCTGCGTACTTGTCACAGAGGATGAGTACGTCGCCGATATTCGGTCGGCTGAAGTGTTTGCTGAGAACGAACGGGATCTCAGTAGCTCATCGATGGACGAGATTGCCCTCGACGAATGACTCGGATTGAGCGATACACGTCTCAATCTTGGGAGTCTTTAAAGACAAATCCTTGGTATAAGGATTTGGTAGAATTCAGGGATGTTTTCCGGGGATCCGTGCCATGCGAGCTGCATAAGGACAAAGGCACTCGACACAAGATCAAACTGAAACCTGGTTCGAAATACTGTGGCATGAAGCAGTGACTACTGCCTCGTGAACAGGTCACAGCAATCGACAAATTCTTTGCCGATCGTTTAGCTGCGGGCCATGTGAAGGAATCAACTTCCCCACACATCTCTCCGACCTTCTGTGTGCGAAAAGGCCACAGGAGGGTGGTGGATAGTGCACGGGTTCAACAAACTGAACGCTGTAACGATACCGGCTCAAACAGCGATCCCAAGAAAGGACGTCATCGTAGATGGTATGTCAAAAATTACCATCTTTTCGTCCATGGATCTGATGGATGGATTCTTTCAGATCCTCATGCGTGACGGGAGCAGCAGAATGCTCGGGAGTGGCTAGTGATTCCACAGGGGCTAATTAATACTTCCGCAATGTTTAACGGATGTGGTATAAATCTATTGCGATCGGTGCGCGATTTCGCGCCGAAATAATTTGATGATATCTTCCTCCATAGCCGGGATATGGATGGAAAGACGGCCGTGGAGGTTCATAGAATTCACGTCCAGAAGGTTCTTAAGTAATGCGAGAGCAAAAGTCGTTCGCGAACCTCAAGAAGTGTATATTCGCAGTGAACGAAATTCCACTTCTTGGCTGCATCGTGGGTGAAAACGGTGTACGCCCTGATCCGGAAAACCAAAGGCGATTAGCGACTGGCCTGTGCCAGTCGACGTCAAGGGACTTCGAAAGTTCCTTGGCTTGGCGGCGTAATAGCCCAATTACGAGCGCAACTACGCCGAGATGACCGTACATCTCTCTCGTCTTCTAAAGAAAAACGAGAGGTGGTCATGGAGTGCTGAGTGTCAGCACTCTTTCGAATCAATCGCCTGTGTTGGCGATTGCAGACCAGGATAGACCGTTCCATGTGGTCTGTGACGCCAGAGATTTTGCAATCGGCTGCGCGTTAATGCGGTAAGACTCAGACAGCGTTGAGCGAGTCGTCTGTTATCAATCGCGTCAGCTGCAAGCAGCTGAGCGTAATTACCCGGGGCATTACAAGGAACTCCTTGCCATGAAATATGAACTGGCAAAGTTTCAGGTATATCTCTTAGGAGATAGGCCCTTCATCGTTTATACCAACCATGCGTCGTTACGCACGGCCGTAAACAGTCCGCACCTCTCGCAACGAATGGCGAGGTGGCTGTCTTTCTTCGCAGAGTACAATTTCAATGTCGAGTACAAACCAGGACGACTTAATGTAGTCGCTGATGCTCTTTCGCGTCGGCCCGATTTTGAGCCGACTGCTCAACACAACAGTAGGGGTGATCCTTCTGCAGCAATACTATCAGTGAGTGTTCCGTCGTCAAATCTGCTCGACGACGTGCGAAAAGCATACACAGAAAATGAGTCTCTTCTTTGGGTGCTGGATTATATAGCCAATCGGTTTAATCAAGCTTTGAAACGCTTGTCGTCTCAATACCGCTCTTTAACCGAACGGTGTTCGGTTCGTGATGGACTGCTGTACTATACAGCAGTCAACAGCGACACACCTCGTGTCGTCGTTCCGTTCATGATGATTTGCGATTGCGCATGATGTTTGAGTATCACGATGCCCCAACAAGTGGACATCGCGGTAGAGAAAAGGATTACCTCACGGTGAGTGGTGACTTCTACTGGCCCCGCCAGTATGCGTACGTGCGCAAATACATCCACGCTTGCGAATTTTGTCAACAGGTGAAGCCTGGTCCTTCATCCCGCGCACCCTACCGGTTCCGGCAGAGTGTTGGCAGTCCGTATCGATGGACTTCGTCTTCGGGTTTCCCAAAGACGTTCACAAGAATACTGGTATTCTTGTGTTCGTTGATCGGTTGAGCAAGATGGTACATCTTTTCGCTGTACCAGATTCAATCATAGCCCAGAGCTTTGTGCGTGTCTTCATCAATACTATCTTCCGACCTCACGGGTTACCCCGTGAACTCATGTCTGATTGGGACCCCCGCTCCACAGCGGAGTTCTGGCAATCCATGTTCCGTTCACTTGGAACACATTTGAAAAAGCCGACTTCTGACCATCCCGATACAGATGGTCAGACAGAACGTGTCAACCGCGTCCTCGAAGTTATACTTCTAGGGTATATCCACTCGCTTACGATTTGGAGTGAGTCCTTGCCGATGGCGGAATTCGCCATCAACAACTCGGTGCATGCGTCAACAGCGCATACACCGTTCTTCGTGAATGGCCTACGCCATCAACGTTTACCCGCCTTCTTAGAGTGTGACTCTAGTTTAAGGGGGGGCGGACTCGCTCGAACGAAAACCGATCTGGTTCTTGCTCATCACCCGTCGACAATGGTGTCGACGTGATGGATGCCGATGTCGATGCGATCGATATTGATGATGATGATGACGAAGATGCTGGTACATTCAGCATCGCCAATGACTGCCTGGTGAGAAAGATGACGCCCTCACTGGTGAAGTCAAAGTTCTTATAGCAGTGCACACGAGGCGCACTGCTGTTGACAAGGATGAACCAGCAGAGGAATTTCTGCTGACTAGCGAAGCGGTTGTCCGCTCCGTTTAAAACTCTATAGCAGATGCACTAGACAGACAGAAACGAAACGCAGACAAACATGGAAGAGAAAATGCTCTTTAATTTGATGAAGGAGACCTAGTTTTACTGTTTACAGTAAACTTACCTAAACACGCAGTGACAAACGTGAGCAGCAGTACGTAACTGCCCAATTACATCAGTGTGCTGCGCCGAATAAGCAACGCATACACGATTGAAGTGCCCCGTAAGATGCGTACGCATCCTATGTTTTACGTCGGTAGTCTCCGCCCGTGCTATTAGTACGAGCCCGTTTCGAGATGCGAAGAGCACCTCCGCGGTCGAGAGCCGAGACCACCTTCGAGTGGTCCCGTTTCAACGAACCAGTCTGGTCGACTAGCGAAGCGACCTGTTCACGCAGTTCAGCGATGTCTCGACGAGCTACAGCCAGCTCGTCACAAAGAGAACGAGTCCAACGTTTGTTCTCAAGTTGCGCGAACACAAACGCGGCACGATCGTTCGAAAGATCGTGAGCTAAGAATTGTAATTACCCTTTACAAGTTTAGGGAGCTCATAACGCCGAGTCCGTTCATGAGCCAGGTCATCATGTAACTGTTCCGTTACACGGTTTAGATTCTATGATTCAAGCTGATCCGACCCTCGAGCCGGATCAGGTGTTCCCGCCCCCGCCACATCCATTAGTGGATTCTGACTGTGGTCAACGCTTTTTGGTGAAGCGTATTTTGAACCACCGCGACGTGGATGGCGTCCGAACGAGTTACCATGTCCGCTGGCGTGGCTATCCACTGGCCCGCTCCAGCTGGGAGCCTCGTTCCCATCTGATTGTTGATGTCATTGGTCTCGTCGAGCAGTACGACGAGACCCACCCGCTGCATTTGAAGAAGGGCCGTCGGAAAAAGACCTCCTCGAACGCGAATACAGGGATTGCAAAGTGTCGATCCCTTCGGCCATCTCGGAAGAGATGCGCGCCCTCCAGTAGGGATCATTAGGGAGGAAGGCCTCCCCAGGGCACAATTCGAGGTCTCAAGGCAACATGGACACGAATGAACACAAGAGAGACAGGGTAATCCTGCCTCTCTTGACAGTCGGTGCAACTTGTACCGCCCCCCGACTGGGTTACGGTTTTCAAACATGATGCAAGCTGCATCAAGTTTACCGAGCCAGGCCTCACGTCCAATGCACTCGATGTTATGGATGAAGGCACTCCACCATTGCACCAAGGCTTTGCCGTCTCGAACACGGCTGCCATTGTACCACCGATGTTTGAAAAACGCATCAGTGAAGAATTCTTTATCAGAACGGATAGTTTTCGTGCGGGAATCGGGTGGGCAAATCTTCCTACAGTCAAACAACGGGATTCGATCTCGATCGGTAGTCATGCCGGCCAACTGGTCCAACTCTTTGTATGACGGCATTCAAGAAGACTCCACGTAAGGAGCGTGGCGCAGGACTTTTTGGTCCCTGGTCTCTTGATTGATGTCAGCATGAGCACTGAAACCAGTGGCAGCTCTATCCCTCGCGTACTTCGCTCGTGGTGATGTATAGGTGTATCACCACCATCCCCACGTGTCCCATCGTTGGATGGACTCGCGTGAGGCGAGGATTCGTCGGAATAATCGCTCGATCCGAAGATCTCGAGCATGATGCCGCCACGTTGACCAGAGCCAGTTAACCTGGCTCTTGCGGTGTCCGCCCCAGATGATCCGGGGGCGTGAGGTGTCGCCTTCGAGTCGGATACATCATCCGACTCGCCAGAATAGATGAGGTCTATTTCAGACTCATCTGATTTACGATTAGCGGTGCCCCCTGCAGACGCAGCAGATGTACCTGTCGCACGTGGTGACTCACCACGTGGACTGTTCTCAACAGACACCGCCTGTTGCTGAGGCGTGAGAAGTACTCCCTTCGGTTGCACGCATGCGTGCAGCCGCCTTTCTTGCTGCTGCAGTAGCAACTCGCTTGGGTTTCGAAACTATGCGTTAGATTGGCAAATGAATGGAACTTGACCAACAAGTGCTCCCTTCCCAAAGTGATCCAACTGTATTCATCCTGTCCCTGTCAATTCAAATTCAATCAACGGTTGATTGATGATTAAGGGAGGGTTGATGTAATGGGGTATGTACGGTGTAGCCCGTTACATGATGTCGACACCAAACGATGTCAATAGAGATATTGTCTAGCATGACAATATTCTTTCAATATTGTCCGGGATGGATAATGTTAAAGGAATATTGTCCCCTATAGAGAATATTCATGCGCTGCTAAAAAATTGATTGATAAAGACATATCAACTATAGATTACCACCAATCGCTGCTAGACGCGTGTAATGAGTGGTGAGCAGGTTTTTGTCATACGACGACGTCGTTTAATATATTTAGATTAAAATTAAAGTTTTATTGATAGCTTAACTATATTAAATACAGTTCTCTTTCTACTCTTTATTTTACATAGTTGTTGAGTAGATTAGCTTCCTCTGCACGTACTAGTGAACGTGAAGATTCGAATAAAATTATAATTTTATAACATGAATTTAATTAATTTCAGATTTTATAAAAAAATTGATTTGTAATATTTTATTTAACTTGTGGCCACCAAACAAAGGGTGCCCCATTACACGCTCCCCCGCGCAGTTCAGGGTTCAACAATGACGATGTCCGCCGAAGGTGTATAGCCTTGAAGGGGGGCTACTTTTGAGTGGCTAACTGTGGATTGAAAAATGGAAGGATAAAGATATGGATGGAAAATTTAGCTTGTAGGACATTCATTACATGCTGAAGTGGTGCTCGTTTTGCGACAGGTGCCGGTTTCGCAATGTTTGCATCTGGTTATTGCCGGTATTGCGACACGCTCCGTTGTATTTGCGAGTTGAGGGTGAACATACTGGTTTTCGAAGGGGTCAGTCTAACGAGGTTTAACGCTAAAACCAGTGTTAATTGGTGTTTTTATGTACCAACCAATCACCGATGAGTACTTTATAAATACCAGTGTTGTAACGGGGTGAATCGTTACATAACAATTTATAAGAAATTGTTAATAGAATATAACTATAAGAGTTATATTCTCAGAATATTGTCATAAGGACAAATGTTCTGTAGCACTTCCAAGTAGTTCCTAATTGGTTGATATAGGCCATTATATCAACCAACGAAGACGCGCCACGACAGACGCACGCAATGAGTGGTGAGCAGATAACTGATTTACACATTTGTATTTAGACATAGTTAGATGAAGATAAATAGTGATTTATTGCAGACATTAACTATTATAAATACAGTTCTACTTTTTACTCTAACCAAGTACTCGCTTCTTCTTACCGTCTTCCTCTGCACGTACGAGTGTACGTGAAGTTACGAGGCACCGCCTTATTCTGTTATCAGAATAAGTAGCTTGTACTGTCACCAGTACAAGCTTCAGGGTGCCCCGTTACACCTGGTAGCACTTCGTAGTCCGTCCAAGGACCGCGTTCACATCCAACATGAATATGTTGGATGATGAAGATGACCAAAGCTTTCACGCTACGCGTGACGGCTACTCCCATTTGAGCGATGTCGAATGGGATGCGGTTGAACGAATGGGTTCGACCATGGGCATCCATGCTGTTAGCGTCATGCTAGAGGCTCTCAATAGAGATGCCCAACATGCTACTATCGCCAAGTTCATTCAAAATGAACTTGACGCAGAACGCGAGAAAGTAGCCTTGCTTCACCAACAAGGTTCTCAACAAGCAGAGTTGTTGAGAGAACAAGGTGCTCAACAGTTTGAACTGTTGAGACAGCAGCAGGCTGCTGCTGGCGGGTCGATGCACTCGCGTCGGCCCGAGACTTTGAAGATTGACATCTCAAAGTATAGGGGGTCGAAGAAGACTCCCTCTTGAGATGGTTCGTCGAATTGGATGACGCCATAAGGGCGCGTCGCATCGACGACGGGGATATGCAAGTTGCATTTGCCCAGTCAAATCTGGCAGGACGTGCCAAGACTTGGGCACTGGGGCTCAAGCTGCACGACCCATATGCGTTTGGGTCGTTGGAAGTCTTCAAGTCGCGGCTCAGACAAACGTTTGAACCGCCTAGAGCTGAGTTCAGAGCTCGAACCGAACTCTTGAAGCTCAAGCAGGGTAAGCGTGATGTGCACGCTTACGCTCAACATATACGATATCTCACGAGTTGTATAAGTTCCAATCCGGTGGATGAACACACGTTGGTTTCGGTGTTCATGCAGGGTCTTGCGGATGGTCCCGTCAAGACTCACCTGTTCCGGCTTGAACTAGATTCACTAGAACAAGCCATTTCAATTGCGGAGCAGGAAGACTTCAGTCTGAGACAGGCTCGCGCCAGCTCGACATCATATCGTCAACCGAGACGATATGACAACGGAGGTCCAGAGCCGATGGAACTCTGTTATGTAGAGAGCGAGAAGGCTCGCTCTACAGGCTACAAGAAGTTGCAGAGATGCAACAGATGTCAAAAGACAGGACACTACGCTTACGAGTGTAGTGCCCCTCGTCCAGTGTCTCGCGACACTGGGCGTAGTGACCGTCCACCCATGAGAAAGGGGCAGGGACGAGGGTCCGCAGTTGGTGCAAAGACGCAACAACGGGATGGACCGTCAAAAAACGGACAGGATCAGTAGGTGCGGAGCACCCTACTGATCCAGCAACGTCAAGAGAATTTGTAGGCCTCTTGATGAAGGTTGCTCCCAACACACAGACATTGTGCGTTGCTGCTCTAGGTAATGAGATCTCACTCATTACCTTGAAACTCGAAGTGACGAATAAGTTGTCCCTTCGAGCTCTAGTCGATTGTGGGGCGTCCAACAATTTTGTGCGACGCCAATCGCTAGAAGATGGTCACTTTAAATTCAGTGAATGTGACACACCTCCTACGAGGATGACGGTACGTCTTGCGACAGGCGCATCCGTAACCGTCATGAAGCGTATAGTGAAGATTCACTATACGCTAGAAGATACCCAATACGACGATGACTTTATCGTATTGGATTTGGATGACAAATTTGATGTCATCCTTGGAATACCGTGGCTCAGAAGGTACGAACCACGGGTAAACTGGCAACATCGGACAGTAACGATGCCTGCCGCTTGTTCATCAGATGGCCATCTGATGAACGTTTTGGAGCGTCCACAAGCGTGTGGATGTACTACGAGTGAGTGCGATGGCCTCACTTGTGGTACGGTCGTTAGTACGACTGCACAAAACCTTAGTGTACCAAACGGTTACACTTCGGAGCAAAGTTCCGGCGGCTGTGAGGAAACACAGGCTGCGCCGAAGGTCCACCACTCGAATAAGTCGAGTGGACCGGGACAAAGATGTATCCCTAGAGGGGAACATCTAGAAGAGAAACAATCGATCGCTCAGGTTAAGCGAACCGATAATCCTAGATCGACTGGAGAGTCTTTCGTAGAGGATCTCGCTGTGGTTGCGCAACCCCAGCTAGAGGAAGTAAAGGGAATAAGTCCCAAGATTACAAATACGGCGGAAATAAGTTCCCCGAAACCCGCGGGAATAAGTCCCCGGGAAGACGAAGGAATAAGTCCTTCGAAGCCTGAGGGAATAAGTCCCCAGGAAATGACAGAGACATTGAATGTCATAGTCAATAACGGATCATGTGTAGGCGCTTATACACTTGATCTGATTGCGCCTCCGAAGTTAACTTCGGAGATCACTCAGTTGCCAACGCTCGAACATAAAAGATTCTTGCGTGATCTGCGTAGTGGCAAAGTCAAGCAGATCTGCATACTCGTCGCTGAAGACGAGTATGTAACCGACATAAGGTCAGCAACAGTGTTTACTGAGAACGAGAGAGTTCTCAGTAGTTCATCTATGGACGAGAGTGTCCTAGATGAAAAGACACGAATTGAGCGATATGAGTCCCAATCATGGGAATCGCTCAAGGAAAATCCTCTCTATGAAGATTTGGTTGAATTCAAGGATGTATTCCCTGAAACTGTTCCGTGCGAATTACCGAAGGATA